ACAAAAGCTTGTTAGTAAAAGAAAGCAAACCTGCTGATTGTTTGAATCTTTTGCTGAGTGTGACAGCTGAGTGGACTGTTGTAAATGTGGCATATATGCACTTCCCTGAGGAAGCATATGCCCGTTCATTCTTCCCCTGTTTTGCCTATGTTGTCTTGGCATCTGTAGATGAGATTTCTAGTAGCATAAGCACTTGGCCATAATAATTTTCAAATTTTTCCAGAAACACAATTTATTCTGCATGAATGTGTTAAAATAAAAAAAGAGATTGTAATAAAATATGGTATACAGATGACCTAAAATAACTGGAAATAGGCAGAATGGTACTCACAACAGAAACCGGTGGTGGTTGATAGGCTGGCCCAGATGTAGGTGCAAAGCCGTTGGCTCTCCATCCTGGCCTCAATCCCAAAGGCTGATACATCAGTCCCGGACGAGGAGGTACTTGTGGAACAACACCAGAGGGAGCTTGATAATAGATAGGAGGGTATCCACCAGGGATGACTGCTGTTGAAGGACCAGCAAGTCCTGCCATACGCTGTGCATATTGAAGCTGCAGCTGTGCTTGTCTTTCCTCTTTCCTTTGAGCAATAGCCACATACAATGGCTTCCGATGAAACATATATCCTGTGAGATACCAATGGCAAACTGATTAGCAGCTCAAAGAAAGCACGGCATACAACTTAAATTTAACCCTGTAAGAAAAGCCATTAATTGAAACACAACTTAAAAAATGTATGCATATAAGTCAAAGAACACAAGTTATTTTTAAATTGAAGGAGGAACACAGAATGTCTACATGCTAGTTTCTTATGAACAATCGTAATTAAATATCAACTAAGGAAGGTTACCATATGAAATTTGTTAGCTTAAAAAGCTCAAATGCATGCAATCAACTTATTACCATGAAAAGTATTCACAGCCTTATTGCCCTCCTCAGGGGTAGAGAAGCAAACAAAACCAAACCCTTTGCTTATTCCTTTCTCATCTCGCATAATCTTTGCAGAAGTAATTGTGCCACACTGACTGAAGTGTTCTACCAGCTCTTCATCAGTGACATCATCATCAATGTTCTTCACATACACATTTGATCCCTACAAATTAAACAAAGATTAGATGCTACTAAAATAGACCTTGGGAGAGAAATGGGGAAGACAACTACCTTGAATTTCACCATTTGCTCCTTTCGTTTCTCCTCAAATTGCCGACGCAACATTTGCTCACGCTCTGCCTTCTTCTGTGCCCTTGCTACATACAGAACCTTGGAGCCTACTCAAATATAAACCACAGGACCAAAAAAAAAGAGTTCCTGTATCAGGAAATGCATCCATATTTCCAATTAATTAAGGCCATAAGAAAGATACCTAACTTACCCAGTTGTGATCCATTCATTGCCTCCATTGCTTGTCGAGCATCATCTGGGTTCTCAAAGTTCACAAATCCAAAACCTCTAGAGTTCCCATTGTCATCCTTTGTAATAGTGAAGCTAACAATTTTCCCGAATTCGGAGAACTTTTCCTCCACAAGCTCTTCCCTGACATTTGTATCCAAATTCTTCATGTACAAATTTGTATATTTCATATCAGGATTGGCCAAAACTCGATCGCTCTTTCTAATAAATTTGGCAACATACCTGTGACATGAATTGTAATTCTTGCATGGTTAATATCCAGAGACAAGAAGAAGGAAAACATAAAACCAACAGGAAGAATTCATACACAAACACAAATGTATCAGTGCATATGCACTGTGTTATAAATAAGAAACATTTGAACAAAATATGGAGCAAGAAAAGAACTGCACATACAGAGGTTTGTCTCCCACAGTGGAGCCATTTAGGTTCTCAATAGCAGCAATTGCAGATTCCTCAGACTCAAACTGAACAAAGCCATAGCCTTTACTCTTCCCATCATCAAACGTGGCGACTTTGCAAGACAATATATTTCCAAATTTCTTAAACATATCTTGAAGCCCTACATTATCAATCGATTCGCTCAAGTTCTGCAACAGATCACCAAAATGGTTTTACCATAAGTTCTTACATCAGAGAAAAGATAACACCTACGACTTACTGTTAATGCAACAGAACATACCTTGACAAACACATTCCCAATTCCACTTCTTCTCGCATCAGGATCACGATGCGACCACATGACCCTTATCACCTTTCCATGCACCTCAGAGTTATTCTTCACCTCAATAGCTTGAATTGCTATAGAGAAAAATCAAATAAAGCTTAATCAGATTAAAATTAAGACAACATACAGTGTAAACCACCGAAAGAAAAACTTAATACAAAACTCAAAATTTTCATTTTTTTTTCCTTCTCTGTAACTTTTCTGTTACCAAACAGATCAATCAAGAAATGGCAACAGTGGAAATAGATCAAAATAGATATAGTTCATCATTTTTCTACTTCATAAGATGGATTTCCAATAGCAAACAAGAATCTTAGCTCAAAACACCACACAATTGAAAAATAAAAGTAAAACTCAACTAAATAAATGTCTAATTCGTTCACATAGAACAACCAAAATTACCAAACGAATCGGAATCACAGTACAAGGCTTAGCAGATTAAAAGTTTTCATAATTCCCAGACAAAGGTACAATCCCAAGTGAGTCACCAACATTGTCTCAGTAACGAAACGGAGCACCACCAAATCAAAAATCAAAACCTCAACTCAATCAAACCAAAAAAATTCAATTCCAAGCCCAAGTCTTTTCCTTTCTCACGAAACGACAAGGTAAAATCAACGCTACCCAAGAACAAAGATAAAAATTCACACAACAACAACAAAAAAAACAAAATTCAAAAAAGTTACCTTCTTGCGGGTTGATGAAGTTGATGTAGCCGTAGCAGAGAGAATGGCCGTCGGTGGAGTCCCTACAGACCCGTACGGACGTGATGGACTTGAACTGACTGAAAGCATCGTACAGCTGACCATCGGTGATGTACGGATTAAGGTCTCCGACGTACAGCGACGCAGTCGGCACACCCACCGCCAGAGGATTAACGGCCATGATCGAACCAAACGTACAGAGAAAACTGAAAGAAGAAAAAAAAAAAAAAAGGGAAAAATGAAAAAAACACAGAGCCTTTTTCAAGCCCTCAGGGAACCGATAAATAACAATGCTCGTTGCAATCGGTGCTCTGTGTTTTATTAGCGGTTCTGAATCAAATCGGCGTGTCTCTTGATTGTACAGTAATTGCACCAAAAACACAGAGAGAGAGAGAAGGAGAGTGATTTTGATGAGTGTAGAGAGAGAGAATTTTGGAAGGAAATGGAGATTTCTTTTTTTGTTTTTTGTTTTTTTCTGTTTTTCGGGGAATTTTAGAGAGAAGGAAGGACAGTGACTGTCGATGAGGAGTTTTTGCATGGGAGAGTAGGGGGACCTTTTCAAGGATTCATTCGTAGGGGTGGGGCCCGCCTCCACCCGCGGACTCGGCGCGGGGGATTTACGCGCCCGTCTCACTGAACACAATGTGACGTTTCAGGATCAGGAGTGCGATTTGGTTTTGCCACGTCGGCAGTCATGAATTATACACAGCGAGTCTAGTTGGACGCGACGCAACAGAAACATCTCCTGGGTTGAGTTGTTGGCGCGGTTTGTTTTGTTTTTTTTATCCTGAAATTTATGGATTTTTTAAAAACATTTTAAGGAATGTTATTTGTTTTCTAATATTGATCATTACTTTTAACCCAAAAATATATACAGATCATTGCCACTTGCCAAAAAAAAAATCATTAATTTTAGATTATGTGTGGAAAAAGAAATATAAAAATAACATAATTTATAGCAAGTTTACAGAAGTGTGTGTGTTAACCGCGACAAATGATTATCTTACTTAGATCGCAAACAACGTTTCTTAATTTTAAGAAGACTTAGATGGAATGTTTAGTTTCAACTCATTTAATCAAATTAACGCTTTCTGCAATTAAGACGACATAAACACTAAAGTGATTAATGCTTTATTATCATCGATGCATTTAACATTGTGAGTGGATATGATGATGTGATTACATGACAAATTATACTTTCATATTCGAGATTAGACAAGAATTGCAAATAAAAGTAGCTATTTTGATAAGAACTTTGATGTTGAGTTTAGATATGATGTCAAACTAATCTATACATAATTCGGAGATAATAAAGGAATAATGACAATTAAAATATTATTTTTTAGAAAGAAAAAAAAACAAAATAACATTGCGCTCCTCCTAATCAGACTAGAACCATGAAAATAGGTCACACATGTGGATGAAGAATGCCACGTGGCCCAAGAGCTTATGAGACTGCTTCAAAGCTGCGAAAAACGCTTCACGCACCATATTCACAGAAAAGACAATTCTTCACAGGAATTATCGGCATCTTTCACAACCAGAATTTTAACCCAAGGAACGCCCTTTTTCACGGACACAATCCTCGCTGCTCAATTATTTTCTCCTATTTATTTTTTTTTCAATTGGTATTTGGTTTTATTTTATGACTAGGAGAAAAATTTACATATAATGAGTTCATTTAACCTCACCAGAACGAGTAATCAAAAAGAAATTATCCGTGAGAGGAGGAACTTTATAACGAATTTTACCGGTCTATGTAACCTCATCACGTGATGAAAGAGAAAGAGATTACAGATCACCAACACTAGTTTTCATTGCATTGCTTAAAATATCACTTTACAATTACATTTAGATGAGGAAGTTATATACGGTACCGTACACGGACCTACAGCAATCAAGCTGTGACAAAACTGCATGGGCCACATGATGAATAGAAATTAAATGGCGCAGCTCAGAAATTAAAGAACATTAGGGTCTTTTACTTTTGGGTCATAATACTTGTGCCTCATAAAAAACAAGTCCATATGAAATAATTTGTTTGGGGCTTCATATGATTACAACTCCTTAAGTGCAATTCAACTGAATTAATTTCATTATAATTTATAAAAATGGGGTTCAAATTTAATCATCATCAAAACTACAACACTCACACAAATGCCCAAAATACTTTTGAGTTGTCTCCAACATTTGCACCCAACAACAGTCAACTGTCTTCTTAATCTCTGTGAGAACAAAACATGTGACAACAAGAAGAAGAAACTCTGAAACTTATTTTGTTTCAGCTATGTACAAATTGAACAGCTTGGAATGATCAAGTAAAAATAGTAAACAAAAATGACATTTGACTCAGACAACATACAGAATTTCTATATGCCTAGCTACATCAAGCTGCATTAGCTACAATTGCTGGCTGTGCTTCCACCGGCCACAAGCTCATCGTACAAAGAAAATTTTACCGTTTGAGAATGGCGACCCTGACAGCAAACCTTCAAGTCAGAAGAAAGATGGTTCCCCCCATTCAAACAAATCAGAAGCATATCATACTGATGATATACATTGTTGTGACCCCTGGCGCTTGGCAATACACATAACAGCAGAAGGCCCACTGATCACTATTAATAACGATCAGCCGATCCAATACACTTTGAAAAGAGAACCGAAATCTGAGGTTTAAATTACAGAAAATGGAACTCCACAAACACCAATATGTGCATCAAGAAAACCACAATTCCTGTTGTTAGCAGCTTGAATAGCATGTCTCCTGATGAGCTGCTCTCACTCAGCTGTCCTGCATTGACATACTCGTCTTTGCTAGAAGTTACAGAGACATTTACAGACAATGAGCCTGAAAAAGAGAAATTTTCAAAATATGACATAGGTGCTGAGGGGAACTTAAAAATATGGACTCATAATTGAACTTACAATCATAGTTAGCCCATCCAATCCGTTGATGAGCTAAATCATACACAAATATCTTATCTTTTAGAACAAGATCTGCAAGTGAAGAAACAAAAAAGGTCAGAAGATGGCACATATATCAGTAAATTAAACTGTACAAAAATAACTGCAAAGTGTTCAGAAGACATTGCATTGTGCACCGCCAGGTAGACCAGAAAATACATTACTTAGCATAAACCCCAGCATAAATAAACTTCTAAAAAAAATAAATGCAATGGGAAAAATTAAAGAGGATTCAAGAAAAGCCAACACATTTCTGTTTAAGTAGGGAAGGAAGTTGAATGCTGGAGTACATGACAGATTCTTTAGACATTTTGAACACTGAAGATATGCAGAGTATGTCATGCGAGCATTGCACTTGAATTTATTGGTGAGCTCAAACCCCTTCCTTTTTCCTTTTCTTCTTATGCACTCAGAGTCAGACCTAAAGGCACAGCCTGAATCCTTGCTCTGCTTTTTTAAACGTGCCTCTAAAACTGAGTTATTCATCAAAAAGTCTTATTGTATGAAGTTTTATAAATCAAATTCAATGGATTAAAAGAACACTCATTATGGACCGCAGATGCATATATGACTTGATTGAGACTCCGAGGAAACTGCTCCTTCCTCCAACCAATATCAGTAAACTTTTGTCCATAAAAATTTAATAACCAGACTAAATTCAGGGTCTAACCTCCTAAAATTGTCACCCCTCCCTGAACCTTCTGAAAACCAATGCACCACACAGCAGCACCTTCCTGTAACAATAGAATGACTCATTACACTTATGCCATACAATTTGCAAAAATCATGTCTAATGCAATGACTTTAAATAAGAACTTTTACAGAGGGAGACGGAGGAACAACTTACACTAGAACCAGTACGCATGAGGTATTCTTCGGGTTTCAACACCATTGATGCACCAGCAGCAAAGTTCAGACTAACTGGAGGAAATACCTCAGCCAAACTGAAACATAAAATGGACCTAAATGTCATTCAGGTTTTTATATTATATATATAATAAAAAAGAGAGATAAACATGCCACTATTATGCCCACCCTCCATAGCTTTTCTGCAGAGGGAACTTAACAAATATTCAGAGATAGAACCAACCTGGTGGAAACAAGATAACACTGGTTTCCTTTTGAAATGATGGGAGTCACAGATTGTGAAACAGCTGAAGTTATCTACACATCCGAACACAAAATCAGCTCTTAATAAGGAGAAGATATCTTATTTTAATAATAAAATACTCTTGTTCAGACCAAACACAACAACCGTTATGTTCCTCCCAATGCTGATTGCTCCCATGCTATATATTCACTAAAAGGAAGTCTGAACTCAAATAGAAAGGAAGGAGCAGATATTGCACAACAACATCAAAGTCAAGTTGGCCCCAGACAGAAACTAGAATGAGAGATGAAATGAATGGAGAAGACAGAAAAGGAAGTCACAATGGGAAGTGAGTTTAATTTTGTGCCTTAATAATGGGAGCTTCTGTCCATGAAATTTCATCATAAACCCAGACATAAGGTTGATGATGAATAACCCACTACCAAAATGACCTATTTCATCCCAATGCTAAAGATGAATATAATTAAGTGAATCATCAAACCAAACCAAGTGAATAAACTTACAGCACTAACAAAAGGATCGTAAGCTTCTTCAACAAGGTATGTTAAAGTTGTTCCTGAGTCAACAATAGTTCCTCGGCTGTTTGATGTGGTGAAGGCTGCTGGATCAATTGGCAATATTTGCCCATTGACAGCAATGCTATGCAGATTTAAATTATAATGCTGCCTGAAAATAGTAAATTAGGACTCAGTTGCATTAGCTGAATAATAAAAAAAATAGAAACTCATGAAAATTTTCAATTAATGGTGAACATTACATTACAGCAAAAGTAAACATGTAGTGACATGAAATCTAGAAAATAAGGTTGCACATAAATAATTCAAGTTTTACAATTAAAAGAAAATATCTGAAGTAAAAACTGGTGTAGTTGGCATCCCCCTCCCCCCAACCCACACCAAACGGGCAATCTGCCTGATGAGTCTCCAAACTGGCCCGAATCAGTGAAACAATAATACATCATCTAAGTAGAAAACAAAGCATTATATGATGGGGATGAATGAAGATGAACCCTATCAAGTCTGAGCAGAATAGGAATGAATTAAGACATTTTTCACAACAGAAATTGAGCTGCAGTAGGTAATCCTTATATTCCTTGTTGGTGGACTGATAGTAACCCTCTTATTCCAACCATGCAGACTCAAAAATAATCTCCATGCTAATATCAAATAGCTAAGAACTGCAAGTTTAAAAAGCCAAAAGTGACATGACTCGATGTTAAGTTAGAACATCCAACCCTTAGTGTATAAATTAATTTCATATTCAAGGTCCATCAGTGGCCAAATAAATTGTGCATACAGAAATAGCAACACAAAGGCACGAAAATAACCTAAACTGGGTTATACTTATATCTTTAAACTTCCCACTTCATAAAATTCAGAGTTTCATAGTAAAGATTACAACCAGAAATAAATAAGAGAAAATCCAACGGGATAGAGACATACTGTGACGGGACAAGGGGACTATAAACAATATTTGGCTCCAAAATCTCACCAAGAACAAGTATACCCCCTCCATTTCCATCTCCCTTCAAACAATGAGAGAACACTTTGGGAGTTACCCCTCGAGATGACAACTGTGATATAACAGACAGAGCCCCTTGCCCGAACCCAAATATCCCATCCACAGCTTTATCTGTCTTAGTCAAATCCCCAGACTGATAGGTACTACACCTGTTTCCAACACAATCAGCCAAGGAAATAAGCTTCAATCAACAGAAACAACATGAACATTAATGTAGGCATCTGAAGGCAAATTTAAAAAGTTATGATGATATAAGATGTGTCATTACTCTTGTTTAGTCACAAAAGTTTTATGATTATGCAACAGGTTATTAAAAAACACACACCACTCTTATAATCAGAGAAATTCTGCATAATTAATTATTGTTGTTCTGGCACATGACATACTTATCGTTATTAAAGGAGCATAGTCACTATTACTGCTAAATGGTGAGGCCTGTCAACCATGCCATTTCAAAATTTATAGTAACTATGGATAAGCTATATACTCCCATAAACAACAATTTTTATTTTATTTACTGAGAAAAATAAAACAATCTTCATAGATAGTTACTATTTTTTTTCTTTTTCCCTCTTTCACGCTTTTCTCCTATTTTCGTCAATGGTTGGTTTCCATTCCACATTTTTATCCACACATCATCTCAGTACAAGTTAAAACAGCTCACCCGAAAACAACGAATGCTGAAGAGTTAGCAATATAAGACTGCCCCAGAATCATGTCAAAATATAGCGCATCTGATACGTAATAACCAGTTGTCCCACTTCCATCTCCATATTGAAAAGTGTAACTGCACTGATTACTCTGAGGAGAGCATTCGGTTGATGAAGTTTGAAATGAGGAGGTGCACATTGGGTCTGAACAGGGGATCAGCCCTGCAGTTGACGAGCTGGCAGAATCATATAAATTGAGCTCAATCTGTAAAACATGGAACATTAGATTGTTAAGCTTAGAATTGTCTCTTTACTCAGCAAGATTATGAGAATGACACAAAGCAAGAAAAAGAAGCAGAAGTTTACTCCGAGTCCACTAGACTGGGGGCAATCACTGCAGGAATTGCAGGTAATCCACAAGATGTCACTTCCAGTATCAATCTGAACATTGAATTCTTTTGGCGGAGAGCCCAATTTCACTTTGGTAAAATAAAGCCTGGATAAAAACCAATATAGAAGAATCGAAGATGAACAAAAGTCATTAACTTGATATACAACACTGGACCAGAAAGGTGCCCATGATGCTCTATCTTAATTAGAGAAAAAAAAAACAGAAGAGAACTGAATAGAAACAAGAAAAAGATACATACACAAAAGATCCATCGACCCTGATTGAAAACAACACCCAGAAGCAAACAGCAAAAAGCCAAACTTAGTCAACGTTTTTAACATAAATTATTTAAAACAAATTATATATTTCTTCAAATTGCGTACTCTAAAAACCCATCAATCATCAAGCACCGGGTCTCCGTTTGGTCGCTAAGAAAGTACGGAACAAGAACTCATTTGTAAAGGAACCGAAACAGCAAGAATTAACAAGACTCAAGCCTTTTTCTTTTTGTTTCTGTTTTTCTTTCCTTTTTCCACTTTCTCAGCAACCAAACGGAGCTAGAAAAGGAAACAGGACAAAATAAATAAACACCCGTGTACACAAACGCTTACCCAATTAAAAAGCATTAACAAAGAACCAGAAGAAAACTCAACTCACACAAGAATATATACCAATTTGGGACAAACCCATTAACACAAACATATTAAAAGCTTCATACAAGAACATTAAAGATAACCCAGATGATAAAATTACCCGACGACGTAGGGATCGGAGGTGCCTTCGACTGAGAAGTCGACAACGCCGCCCGCCACGTTTTGCAAGAGCCGGGCGTGCCTGACTCGGTCCCGAGCTCGGAGGTGGTCGAGTTGGACTCGGTGACTCGGCGGAAAGGCCCGTTCTAGAGAAAGAAAGGTGGCCGGCAAGCCACAGTAGACAACAGAGAGAGACAGCAGCACGGCGACGGAGGCCAAGATCGGAGCTTTGAAGACCCGCATTTCTTCGAAACGGTGCGTTTGAGTTGCCTGAGAGGGAAAATTTAGTGGCGAGGATCGAGGTGGTGCTGGTTTTTCTTGCTTTTGCGCATTGAGAGAGAGGGAGACTGTCAGAAGTAGTGAGAGAGAGAGAGAGAGAGACAGAGACAGAGACAGAGGGAGGCTTTGCTGCTTAAACAGAACTTTGGAACCAGTTTAATGAGAAATGAGTTGGGCACCCCAGAAGATTAACAAAGGCTACAAAGACGATTTTACCCTTCAATTACGGCTACTAGCCATAGAAGAAGGGATAAATGAGTGCAAGGCGTAAGGGTAATTATGTACATGCAGAAGTGTTTGTAATTGTCATACGTTGAGAAATTGGTTTAATCTGAAATTTTAATTGAAGGAGTAAAAAGATGGGTGGAAATAGCGAAAAGGAAATGACCGATTTTCCAGGTGACAAGACTGCGTTGGTCCGTCCACGTACGGCCCGCTGCGTATTCAGCACGCTTTTTTTGACCGTTAGACGACCAGCGAAGAAAGCCACGAGCCCGAAGTCGGTACGCTCGTAACTGTTGGCGGGTGTCAGACACACGCTCTTGGTGTGCGTGGGATTGTGATCGTAAAAGAAAATTGGGGTGTAGATTATAGCGAAAGGGAAATGTTAGCCGTACTTCAGGACGTCAGACGACAATCATAGACAAAGTACCATTTTTTCCACAATAATAATTATGTTTTAATTACTAAAAATTTCAAGAGTTTTTAATCATCTATTCAAGATAGTAGGATTATAAGTGGCGAGATGAAAGTGCCAACCAATCGATCAATAATAATCATCCATGTGAGTTCTGGTTTACGACAAGAGCATACAAGTGTCGTTCGATTAGCACTCACATCCCGTATTAATTTCACAATACTTATCAAGTATTGAAGAATTTTTGAGCCGAAACGAAAGCCAACTTTTGCATTGAGATTTAACCTCTTTTGATTGTTCGTTTTTAAGGTAAAGCTATACTCTTGAATTTGAAATCTTGAATTGTGCATGCTGTCATGCTAATCATATGTAAGTTGTGGAAGGTGAAGTATAAAATGTTTGTACTATAAGAAACCCTTTCATTCTGTCAAAAAGAAAAAAGACAAGCAACCCTTTCGTAAGAAAAGCCCGCGAAAATACTATGAATATTTTATTTTTATTTTTGTTTTTGTTGGTGGGTGCAAATGTGGAAATTGACATGGAGCAAAAAGTCACAACTCTAGCCAGCTCAACTCCAATGCGACCTAAAAAAAATCAATTGTGGATCTTTAGATGGAGGGGGTTGGGTGAAAGCGAGAGTTCTTGTCAAGTCTTCTTCGTCTACACAAACCCTCAATTATATGTTATTGATATGTCATGTCATTAAACCCAAATTCTAAATTGTAGAAATATGGAATGAAACCACTATATAAGTCTAATAGTGTGAATCCATAATTATTCATGTACGTATCAGTGAAATCCACGATATAAGATTGATTATGCAAATACATAATTAAAAAACAACCATAACTATTCATGCACGTATGGACGGAAAAATACTTCTCTATCTCTGTTTCATTGTCTCATTTTCTCTATCTTTCTCCTCATTTCACTTGTTAGAGTATGAGAGAGATATAGAGACAAAGACAATGAAATAAAGGTAGGGAAGTTTTTTATCGCGTGAGTGAGGTTTTTTCTAAAAACTCTTAATATATCAAATTAGTTAATTGTAATAGAGAGAGATTTCTTCACGGACTGTCTTTCTTCCTGATCCCCTGCCTTAGCCATTTAATCTGTCTCATTATCATTACATTGCGTACTTAAAAGCATAATATCCTCAAGACGTTTTGCAATTTCCATCAACCAAATTCTTTAATAAATCTTGACTAACTAGCCACGCAAATTCCAATAAAATAAGATTGCTTTTCTTGTTGAACATCATTTACTACAAAAGAGCAGTCTTTCTTTATACATGCACACATCTTCAAATCAAATGTATATATGAAGGAAGCTTCCCACTCTTGTTAAAAGCAGATTAAATGGATGGGGACTTTTGTGATGATGACAATCGCATCCCTCCACGTTAAACTCACATCATGCATGACGAGGAAGTATATTCATTTTTAAGATTTGCTTAGGTTTGTATTTGAATTGAAATAGAAAAAAATGTATGTGCTTTATGGACGGCAACTTTAGCTTTTAATATAAAAAAGGGGTTTAGAAGGGCCATGGTATTGGAAGGGAGTTAGTTGCCAATAGGATGGCTTTTTGTTGCTCAAGTCACTTTTGCTATTGCAGCTACCCCTCTATATTTGTACATTTCACACGACAACAAAGTGCCATTTTGACTCTTTTTTTGCACCCTCTTTGTTGAATGCTTTGCTTTCACAGAAAATATTCTGCAGCATAACAAAATAAAAATAAAAGAGGATTTCCATCTTACAGTTCAAAGAGTAAGAAAGCCCAATACGTGTGGGGTTTTATCATAAAAGTTCTCGGTGATATTAATAGTGGAACCATTCATTATATATTGTATTTTATTTAGTCAAGTTTCCAATGTGAGACTTACATTCTTAACAGAGGTAACATATTTCCCACATTTGCTGACAACATAATGTGATTTGTCGCTTGTAGCAATCATAATAATTTCGTAAATCAAGTTTCTCTTTTTACATGAATTCGTGCCCCTTTTTTAGATTTTGGGTTTGCATCAAAATCTTTTATTTCGTAAGCTGGTTTGGGAATAGATTTGCTAGCTCCTTCAATTCAAAACTTGATTCTTGTAAATCCTTGTGATTTTCTTATTTTTGGACTGAACTTGTTGCCCTCTGCATATATTCTAACATCTTACAAAAGTTTTATGGGTTCCTTTTCTTTTTTATGGGTAATACGAAAAAAGAGGAAGGAAAATATGCTCCTATGTCTCTCTTATCATTGTCATATCTATCACCTTCTAAAAATCAAACACCACTTGAGAGTCTTGATGTGCTCAAAACTTTCCAGATATATTGGCTGGTGATTTACATTTGTTTTATGGCTCCTTGATGTTCACATTAGAAGAACTTTCATGTGCTCCTGCAAAAGCTATTGGAAGGAGTTGTCATGGAAAAACGTACAAAGCTATCCTCCACTCAGGTCATGTATTGGCTGTGAAATTGCTAAGGGAGGGTATAGCAAAAGGAAGAAAAGAATTTGCAAGAGAAGTAAAGAAACTAGGAAATATCAGACATCCGAATCTAGTTTCTCTGCTCGGTTACTACTGGGACCTAAAAGAGCATGACAGAAACTGATTATATCAACAACTTATACCAATGCACAATCGTTGGCATTTCATCTACACGGTAAGATTCTGTTATCTATCTTTCAGTTTAGGATTTGAAATAAGAATCTCCCGAATATTATTTCCGTCTCTAAAGTAAGACTCTCTAAATTAATTTTAGAATTCATTTAACAGCACTCTTAACGAATATAGAACTAGAAAATATAAAAACTGGGCTGGGGAGCTCGGGGTGGTGACTTATGTATATCGTAACGCTCTCTCTTCTTTTTTCACGAAGATGGATTTCGTGGTTGGGCCGTGGAGAATGCTCTCAGGTTCATTTGGGCTGAAACACTGGATAAGCCCATAAATATATAGCTGATCTGCAGTCCCCAAAAAAGAAAAAGGAATTTTGATTAATTTTTTTTAGTAATTTTAGCATGCAGATTTTTCAAATTATGATATTTTAAAAATAAAATAAAGAGGAATTAGCTTCCGTTTGGCGGCAGCTTTAATTTGGTAACTAATTGTAGAAATTTTGAAGCTCGGAGAAAGAGTCCTTAATTAAACTGGGAAATAAAAAAAATAGTCCCGTTGTTTTGTTACCGCGTCTTTATTAAGCTAAACCCGACTCTTATATAAACCTCCTCGCGCAGCACACTGAAGCCTCGAACTTTCTCACTGCTCTCTTACTCGACCGATCCAAAGCTCTCTATCTCTATAGAATCGCACGACATGGCCGAGACTGACGCTTCCGTCGACACAGCCAACGCCACCATCGAAACGGCGGCGCAGCCAAACGACAACTCGTCGTCCGATACGGCCACCAGTGCTCCCCCACCGCCGGCGAAACCGGAGTCAAAGCGCTGGGCCGACGAGGAGGACGACCCTCCCGAGGAGCCCGAGAAGAAAAATGACGCGACGTCTACTTCCGAGCCGGAAGTGAACGTTGCCGAATTAAAGATCACCGAGAACAAGTTCCTCGACGACCCCGAAGACTCTAATATTAGCGCCGTATGATCTCTCTCTCTCTGAAATTTTCAATTTTTGGTTTTAATTAGGGTTTTTACTCAAACTGCAGTAGGGCTATGGTTATTGGTTGATTTTGTTAATGGTTTTGGGGATTTAATTCGATTTAGGTTACGACCGGCGACACGCCGTACACGTCGGCGAGTAGCTTCGAGGATCTGAATCTATCGCCGGAGGTGCTGAAGGGCTTGTATGTAGAGATGGGGTTCAAGAAGCCCAGTAAAGTCCAGGCAATCACTTTGCCCATGATTTTAACCCCTCCCTACAAAGATCTTATTGCTCAGGCCCACAATGGTTCGGGCAAAACCACTTGTTTCGTGCTTGGGATGCTCAGCCGGGTCGATCCCAATGTTAACGCTCCTCAGGCGCTCTGTATCTGCCCCACCAGAGAGTTGGCCGTTCAGGTAAAGTTTCATTCTTTTCTTAGATTGTTACTCCAATTGTTGTTCTTTTATTAATTTGAATAGAAATTATAGGGTGAATGATATACAATTTACTTAAAAGAAAGAAAGAAAGGCTCTTTTTTTTTTTTTTTTTTTTGGAAATTGAATATATCTGAGCTTTTTAGACTAGAGGATTGATGGTGGTAAGTGAAAGAAAGAAAGGCTCTTTTTATTTTTATTTTGGAAATTGAATATAGCTGAGCTTTTAAGACTAGAGGATTGATGGTGGTAAGTGAATGTGGCAGAATATGGAGGTCCTTCAGAAGATGGGGAAGTACACGGGGATAAAAGCAGAGTGTGCTGTCCCAGCTGAGAGGACGAGTGCTCCGTCCATTCAATCTCGAGCACCAGTATCAGCACAAATTGTGATCGGAACCCCTGGTACAATTAAGAAATGGATGTCTATCAAGAAGCTGGGCGTAAGCCGTGTGAAGATTCTTGTGTTTGACGAGGCTGATTACATGTTGGCCAAGGTAATCATATCATGCCACTAGATTTGATTAATTTTTTAAAAGTTCATGGTTACCTTGTCTGCTTTATCTTGATTCTGGATTGTACAATATTGTATGTTTTCTAAGCGTGTAATGCCACCTCAATCAGTTAACGAGAACAAAATTAGCCTCATGGACGATATATCTAGGGTCTTTTATTTTATTATGGTAATGTGATATGAGTAGACCTGTGGTTTAAGGGTATAAGTTGGTTAAGCATGTGTGCTTTGAGCATCCCTTGCTGTCTGTTCTCTTCAAGCATTAAGTGGTGTATCAATCTACTGCAAATGATTGGCTAGCAATGATTTATGCTTTTATGTATTAAGTCGCTAAATACATTTGTGCAGGATGGCTTTCAGGATGATTCGTTAAGGATAAAGAAGGATATAGAGAGATTTAGCCCTCACTGCCAGGTTCGTCAAATTTATTTTTTAAGTTTTATTGTGCCTAACGTTTAATGTATATTTTATTGCGTCAAATTCATAGTTTCTGTATATTTT